CAACAGTCTGTGCCCCATTTCCTGGGGGGCTGGATGCTTTTGTTGTTTGATGGAGTTAGGCAGCAATGAGCTCAGTGCAGACAAAATTGAGGTAATGATGCGGGGAAAGGGAAGCACTTTGAATATATGGTGACGGTGTGATATTCTCTTTTTAATGAAGGCACATAATTTTCCTTTGCTATTGAGTTTTTCAGTCTGTGGGTCTTCCTGACTATTGCTACTATCAGAAAATCCATGAACAGATGTGTAGCCAAGAGTTTTTGTTTTTCATCTGTGCCTCGGTAGGAGGTTTAAGATCTCCTCTCTGATGTTGACCTCACAGATGCAAACATAGCCACTGTTATCTATGTCTTTGTAAGTACTGCAGTGTGCCCTACATGGGTTTACTCTTAACTCTTAGCTAGTGCAGAACACATCTGCTTGCTTAGTTTTTGGTGGCTCCTATGTGGATTATATTACCTCTGGGCTCTGCAGCCTGCACTGGTTACCAGTTTGCCTGCAGATGCAATCCAAATAACTGTCTTTAATTTGTAAAATTCTATCAAAGATTGGGGGCTAGCTACCTAATAAACCACTAATTTATTTGTGAATTTTACCACTCTGCTTCTGTCTAGGACTTATTGCCATTTAACTTTGAGGATAATGTAAAATGTTAACCACCTTTACCATTTAGCCAAACAGAAGGCTCTACCTTCTGGGGAACTGAAAGAGACCTACTTAGAGGTGGTGGACTGGACTAATGTGTCTGACTGTATTTCCTGCTTTCATATGTTGAAAGGAAATCTCATCACTGTGAGGTTTGCGTTTTTAGGATTTTAAAGAAAAAAATAGTCTGAAATGTATTTTGAATTAATAAAATTAAACAGGAAAAAATCAGAGTAACTCATATTCAGAATCTAATCTGCACCTAACCCCCTTTTCCTTGTGCAACTCGGAACCAGTAAGGGTGCAAACTGTGAGTAGAGTAGTCACATAGTATGAAGATAGTTGCAGTACTTAAGCAGTCAGGAACTGGTACGAATCTGCATGGTGCTTGAGAAGCAACAGCTACATAGGAATCATTGGTGTGACCCAGAATGTATATAGTTGTACAAAACCAGGATCACTTCCTGTACTAATGACTTGTGGTGTTAATAATATAGCCAAAGACACCATGCAGTTTGTCACTAAGGTGAAGAGGAGTCACACAACTGAAGCTAGAGCTTAATCTATTGTGGAGTATGTTGGCAACTTTTTTTTCAGAACATTTATTGAAAATTATACTATGCTTTGTAATGGCTGGTCAGAGGTCAGTGTTCCAATGTAGCTTGCTACAAATCTGTGTGTTGGAGCTGGTGCAGATAGTAGAGATGTGAAAGGTTAACCAGTTAAACAGTGAGGGCTGGAGCAGCTCCCTGCCCGCCATAGGGGCCGAGAGGGGGCTGCAGGTAGGGGCTGCACTGGCTGGGCTGGAGCAGCTCGTGCCTGTGGTCTGGGGTCGCTCCAGCCCAGATGTGGCATCCCCCCCTTAATTGGTTAACCAGTTAAAACTTCATGTTTAACTGGTTAACCAATTAAAATGGATTTTACATCCCTAAGGACAGTACTACCTGGAAAGCAGTGCTATGTCCAACTTAAATTGTGTGTGTGAAGGAATGCTTCTGTTTTGATACTGAGTTTAATTACCTTTATTGCATCATATATCACCTCTGTATGAATGGCCCTTTGGAAAAGACATTCCCCTTTTTTTTTCTGCCAGTGTTCCCCACACTCCCAAGGCCAATATTTAGATGAAATGCACCAGCATACAAATTATATTTCCATCTCATTTACATACCCCAGGTGAATATTTTGCCTTTATTTAAATCATTATGATGCCTTTTACCCAGCCAATATATTGAGTTAAGTACATATACAACTGGAGATATTTTCTAAAGAATAGCATGTCTGTATTTGAATTCTGGTTAATTTAATTGGCAGGGGGAGGAAGGGAAAGGGTAGAAAAAGCTAGTTTCTACCTCAGTTCTTGGCTGTGATGTTCCTGTAATACTTATGCAATCCCAAGAATAAATATTCTAAACAGGGCTGAAAAGAAATTATATATCACACAGATCATGCAAAATGTGGAACTTGTTGTTACAGGAATTGGTTGAAATCAAGAAATTAACAAGATTCAAAAAGTGATTGAACATTTATACAGATAACAAAACATTCCAGAGCTATCATGGTTAGTCCTGCAAAAAAAGTGCACGGATATTAAACCTTATGCTTCAGAGCTCAAACTGATCTCTCAGGGTATGTCTACACTGCGGAGCTGTTTTGAGATACCAGAAGTATCCTGACATAGCTATTCCACCTCTACTGAAGTAGCCTGTTATTTTAAAATTGATTTTAAAATAACAGTCAGCTTACTCTGACATCCCGGTAACCCTCATTCCACGAGGCTTAAAGGGAATTTTGGAATAATGAGTTATTTTGAAATTTCACATGTATATAGTGCCCAATTATGAAATAAGCTATTTTGAAGTAGCATCAAAATAATTGCATAGCTTATTTCAAACTAAGTGTGCTGTGTAACACACCCTAATTGATTAGGATGATGCCTGAAGATGAGGGGCATGCGTGTGTGAGGGGGCAGATTATCCTACAGCTGCCAATTGTGCATCTGTACACCTGCTAAAATACTGGTTGCTTACTCTTGCTGGAGACAGGATACTGGACTAGATGAACTTCTGATCCAGCATAGAAAAACATATATTCCTAAATCTGGGATATTCACAACCAGTTAATTGATGCAAGGATAACTTGATATATCTTGTTTCTTCACTTCGAAAATGGTGTTTAATTGTCATCAACCTACCTTAATGAAACTTGAAATGGGGAACTGGTTGTGTTTTTTGCAGAGTTCTGCTAACTAAGGGTTTTGGGTGTGTGTGTGTGTATGACTAACCAGCCACATGTGAGATGAATCCATGTCCTTCATGGATGATTAAAGATGGCAGAGAAAAATTGAGTCCATTATTGAAGACACTTATTAATGTTTCTTTTCTGGAGGACTAGCTGCCAAGCATGCTTAAAGTGTTGCTCTCTCCCACAAAGTAACTTTTCAGAAATCTTTACACAAATATATGTCCACTCTGACTTTTCAAAAAGGCATTTTCAGATCCATTTAATTTTAGACTGGATCTGTGGAGTAACACTGCCCTATCTTCCCTTTTAAGGCAGGGTCTGGGAATTTTCTTCCCAATTACCTTAGTGGCTGGATTGGAGCAACTGCTGATAGAGTGTATGTAAATATTTCATACAAACTGGGAGCAAGTGCTTCTTGCTGAAATTCCACCAGAAGAAATTTTAGAATATTGGAGAAGGGGAAAAAAGAGAAAATTCATAAAAATAATTAGTGTAGGCTAATTAACTATAATAATAACATTTTGAATCAGTGCCTGGAAATACAGTCATTTTGGCCCTGTGCCAATTATAATATCTATGGTAGCTGTCTTTCATGTGGCCATGCATCCATTTTGAGATCTGACAGTGATGATCAGTTTTTAAACATTTAATTGCTGCTATTGTTTTATTGAAGGAATTTTATAGCCTTACTTATCCATCTACATTCACACAGCAGCTGCTATCAATGTCAATGATTTAGGTATTTAAAATGGGAATATATAAATGTTGCTAACCAGGATTTTTTTTTTTTAGTGGCTAACTCATTATCGTGGAAAGGAGTGAGAACAAGTTGAACAGTCAATCCCACACAGAAACATCCATATCAGTAGTCAAAAATGTTCTGTATTTTGCCAAGTATCCCGGGCTGTCACATCTGCCATCACCACCTGTGATAATTTTCTTCCTCTTCTGCACTAAATAATCAATTACAAGATTCTATTTTCCCTCCAAACGCTCTCATTTATAACAACTGGCTCAACTGATGCTGATAATGCCAGCAAGAGGACATAGTAGCATAGGCTTTTTTGAGCACAATAATGGTCAGCGTGGAGCCCCATAAAAAGCTGCATAATTTTTGTTTCTATCAGGTGTGTCATTAATGATGAATGACCTAGCATCGGTTGATCAAATGGGCTCTGTATGTGTATGTGTTTTCATTTTAAGCACTAGACACTGATAATACCAAATTGGCAAATTCACAGAATTCTTATTCCCAGTGATGATGGGTGAGCCAAAACCAGTCCAGCTTAACTGTCATATTCCAGGCTGAGTTTGTAGGGCTGGCATATAGGAAAAGCAAAACAAAATATTATTTAACTGGCAAATTGAGACAATTTGATCTAAAATCACAGAGTGAGAGAAACAATTGAACACAGAATCCCAGAATGCATTTTGGAGAGTCCATTGCAGAAGAGAACTGCGCTTTAAGGGTAAGGGACTGATGAAATGAAGAAAAATATTCTGAATGTGCAAAGTTTCATATATTTGTGGTCTTCCAACTGTAGCAAATAATACTGGCTGATATTTGTCATGCCAGATAGTCAGCTTGTTCTTACTGTTATGGATAGTAATAGTCACTATAAAACACAGACCTGAGCTAGGAATTTATTGATCGGGGCTTGCGTCTTTGACACTACACAGCCATATTGTTCGTAATGAATCATCTCAGCCAGTGATGTTTAAACCAGCACAGTCCAGTACCCTTCCTCTACCCAGCACTCAGAGAAGAAAGGGAACCCTAAAACTACATCTCCTGGCTTCAGTTGCCAACACTGATGGAAGCTGTTGAGAGTTTTTTTTCCCCAACATGACATAACATCATTTTCTTTAATATCCTATTAAAATATCTTGGATTGCTTTCAGTAGACACCGAGATGTCTGTGCTGATTCTGGGAGATTCCAGGTCAATCCTGGAAGGTTGACAACCCTACTCCCCAATAGCAGACATGACAAGAAGTCTTCTGCCACCATGAGTCTTCTCTGATGCAACAATACTTAGGCCTGTGTTCTATTACAATGTTCTGTGCAGAAAATACTGGAAATTCCTCTTCCTGTGGTCTTCATGAGTGAGTTTCAGCAATCTGTTGTCATACTTACGAGGGGGAAAAGTGAAAATCCCAACAGTAGTTGCTTTCAGAGAAGAGAGCAACAGAACAGATAGGCCAAGCATTTGAACAGGAGTAGCGAGTGACGAACAGAGGCAGACATTCATATCTGTAGGTTTGGCCTCTGCTTATATAAATATCCTGGATAGAAATAACTGTCTATTTATGATCTATTGGGTAAGAAGGAATGCACTGCTGAAAGTATGGGTTTTTTGATGAGAGATAGAGATGAAGATTTGGATATCAGTTTTTTTAAAATGAGTCTATATCTAACAGCTAGTGAGGAACTTACTCAAGTGTTCTAAAGAATGTTCATGTAAAGTTATGTTCTGAATACAGGTTGGGCCTCCCTGGTGTGGCACCCTCAGGATCTGACCAGTCCTGAACCAGGAAATTCGCCAGACCACGGAAGGATCTCTGCCACAGTTCCCCCAGCTGCTGACCCTCAGTGCTGTCAGCTCCAGAGTGTCCCTACTACCCTCAACCTTGTCTGGGCTGCTGGCCCCACTGTTGCTGCCCCAGCTGGCCTGCTTGCTGTGGGCTAACTATAGCTCCAGTCCTGCTGCTATAGGCTGCTGGAGGTTGCTGGGGGCTGCTGAGGGCTAGGGCTGGGCCCCCAGCCCTGTGTAGCCTATGGACTCTGGCCTCACCCAGCTGCAGGCTGCCTGGGGTTCTGGCCCAGCCTGGCACTGCCAGGGGCTGTCGCCAGCCCAGTCTTATGTTGCTGTGGGCTGCCCCGGACCCGATCGCAGTGCCGCAGGCTGTTGAGGGCTGCTGTTGGCTCTGGTCCCACTGCTATGGGCTGCTGCCAGCCCAAGCCCCTGCCCCTTCCTGACCCTTCAGCCCATCCCACTCCTGGATTGCCCTCCTGCCTATAGGTAACCATGCTTTCCGATCCAAGAACATCCATGGTCCTGCTGCACCATGGATGTTGCTTAACCAGAGTGCCGGTTTTGGGAAGTGCAATCTGTACTTAAATTTCCATTGTCATTTCAGTAGATTTCAGAAATATTCCTCAAAATATGTTAGAAACTGAAATAGAATATTTGCTGTTTTAACCACTATTATAGACCACCCCAGAAGTGGTTACAGTTTACCTGCAAATTTAGGTTGTAAAATTTTGGGTTGAGAGAGACTAAATGAATAAAATATATCATTATTATTTTTTATTTCAGATTTATGACTGATGGTCTGCTTAGAAGGGTAATGATAGTTTGCCATCTGCTGAAAGATCTTGTTCTTATTCACTTGGCTACTCTTTTGTATATAGACAGTCTCAGCTTCCAGCAGATAAGAAGGAAATTTCAGTGATGACTTCTGGCTCCTTGGTACAAAATAGAAAGGTGCATTTTGTCATTATTAATATCACTGAGGTCTACCAGGATTCTTCATTCATTCAAAGAGCACATATATATGAGTTTTTACTTTCAGAAGATGCAGATTTCTATTGTGACGTTTGTGTGACAGTTTTCTATTTTCTTTGTAGAAATATATTTATGGAACAGTATTTTAATAAGGGCACAATCTAAAAATATAGAGTCCAAAACTTGCCATGTTTGAGTTCCTTTAAAATGTTGACAGATTTTGTAAACATATATTTATTTTTCATAATCTTATAAATAAAATGTCGAGTGAGAAACTACATCTATTTACCATAAATGGGATCAGACTCTAAGCCAGGGAAGGTCCTTAAAATAGCAGAAGTAAAGAAAGTTTGGGATTTGTCCAGTAAACTTCTAAATCTTTAACAAATAGAATGTTATTTATATATTACTCTGTTTCTTCTAAATAATATTGGGTTTGATATATCAGGCAGTTGTCCAAAATACAAAAAAAGTCCTTTAACCAATGCTCTCAGCCATTCCCATTGATTTTAAATATTTAGATTCTTACTCTTTGGGTTTCTATGCTAATTTCTGATCAGACCTGGTCAGATCAGATCTGGTCAGAAATTTTGATTAGATCTGGTCAGAAATTTTGATGAATTTCTCTTATTAATTTTTTTTAAAAGTTTGAACATTATCAAAATGGGGCATTTTGATATTTTTGAATAAAAAGTACCAGAATTCAATTTATGTTAGTTTATTTATACTTTTAAAAATATGTAAAAGAAATAATGATTATCAAACTAAAATGTTTCAATTGACTCAATCCATTTTTCTTCAGATTATTGGTACATGATTTTTTTTTTTGAGATTGCTGACTTTGTCTCATTTTGGGATGTGAACTCCCTCTTTTCGCTCTCTCTGCCCACCCAAACTGTAGAGGGACATTAAAACTATTTCCTACCCATCTCTACTTTTGATATCTTTCCTGGAGAGAACCTAAACTCAAAGGCAAAAATCCTTTAATATGTTTAATTTGGATGAATTCAGCTCCTCTTTGAAATTGTAACATAAGGTCAAATTCTACCTCATGCACATGCACTTAATTGCTGTTGACTTCAATGGGAGAAGGACTTTTGTAACTGAGGGCAGAACTTGGTGAGTAGTACAGATATTTAACAGTAATTTTGCAGCTGAAGATAAGAATACTGGAAGCAGTAGTACCTAGCTGATAGTTGAAAGTGTTGATTTGTGCCCTCTTTTCATGCTTAGACTGCAATAATTGAATTTGACCAGTGGAAAGACCAGTCATATGGGTATGTCTTAAAATTGTGCAAAACTCTTGTTTTCTCAGTAGGATTAAGCTTGTCCTCAGTATGCACAATTTGCATTGGCTCCAGGTTACATTTTACATAGCAATTGTTTCGTAATTTTCTCAGACATAATGGTCTCCATCGTCTGGATCATGGATTCCTCGAGAGCCTGAGGGTTCTTTATTTCCTACCATGAATATGCTGTTCAAATTCTGAGAACCTCATAAGTTCACTGAATGGATCAGCAAGACCTTTGGTTGCCTGTTTTTCTGCATATTCACCCAGTTGAATTCTTCAGAATAGATTTAATGGGCTGCCTCTTTCTAGGTTTGAAATTAAGACTGAAGACTCTCCCTCCCCAGTTAGTCTTATTTCTTTATAGTGAACACACTTTATTTACAACACTTTGAATGCCCTTTAATACATATTAATTAAAGAGTTAAAGAAAGAGCTGGCCTATTTTAAGAACTATATGACCTAAGTGTACTGATATGATTTTGGAGCTTCACTTCATTTCTCATTTCCATAGCAGTCTGTTAATACCAAAGGTACTGTAACCTCTGTACGGCTATTCCATACAAGTCCCCCAGAATGAGTCTGCCCAGTATTAGAGGAAGATGCATTGTTTACTGCAGTCATCAAAACATAATATTATCAGAGAATGTGGCCAAATCCTTGTCCTCTGAGAAAGGGCTCTGGTAAAAGGTTTTGGGAACACAGTTGTGCTGCTGTTTCTAACAGTCACACTCCCATATAAAATATACCCTTTCAGTGCAAATATCCAAGCACGTAAGCTTAATTTTCACTTTATGTGAGCATTAGTATGAATAAAAATCAATGCCTAGAATGCTTGCAGGCAGGAAACACAAAAAGACCATGAGCATGGCTGAAGTGAACACTTTTGAATTAGGAAAAAGCTCATAGAAAAATATTGTGGCATTCACTTAACTCTGGTACAAATCAAATTGGCTCATCAGCTACTCTAACATTTCCCATATTTCAACATTCCTCTGCCTTCAGTGCTTTGGGCATCATAATATTGAGTAAAGTTGTTGTTCTCCTTCTTACTGTCGTTAAACTATTTCTGCTAATATGTTTTATGTATTTGTATTATTTGTGAAATATTCCTGAAATACTAAACTGATAATTATAGTCAAACACAAGTCTGATAGAGCATTGGGTGTACTGTTACAATACAGGTATGAGGTGAGTTTACTTGAAGTGAACAGAGCATTTTCAGAAGCATGAAGATACTGCTTCTAGACAGTCATACACTTTGTTCGCATTTATTTAACTTCTCCTGAATTACATTTGCCATAATCAAGTTAACTTAAAATGCGTTTAAACTGCTAATGCACTGGGTCATTGATTTTAACAATGTTCTCACTACTACATTTAATTATTGCACAAGCTGTTATTTAAGATCACATTTCAGATGGAGGACTGTAATAATGCATTCTCAGATTGTAATAAATGAAACAACCCTCTAATGTTCTGTGAGAGGGTGTAACAAAGAAGCTTTCTATAGTAGAGAGCCAGAGAAGAGACTAAGGTGTGCACACATCCAGCTATGCAGGGTACACAACTTGGCAATGAAGTGCCTTGTAAATGAGAAACACATGATACAATGATGCCTTGAACATTGTCACTAATGCATTAAACACACATTGTGTACCATTGGTTTCAAGAAAAGGGGGAACACACCAAAAGGGATGAACAGGATAGTATTGAAAAATCCAGAGCTGTCAAAATAGTATTAAAGAACTTCAGGATCTGCCTGTAGGTAGCTTTTTCCAGGCTGCCAGGAAAGAACTGCCCCTCCTGAGAAGGCAAAAGGAATGTTGCGCCTGGGATGGGGTCAAAAAGCAGTCAGGCCACTTTGTAGGGAGGTAGAGTATATTTGCAACATAGGAAGAGGCGATCAGGAGTGGAAGATTTTCTGTACAAGGTACAATCTCCCACATGGGACTTCCTGACTGTCCTTAGATGAAGTCTCAACTTGCTCTTCCCACCAGTCTCCCAAGAGGTCCTTTAATTTAGCCCATTGACAACTCCTTCAAAAGCCAGCCTCATAGTCTACCATGACAAAAAATGACATTTAACTTAAAAAAAAGCATTTTGAGGAGAAGAAAATTCTCAGTATTGCTGAGGTAGGGAACTGAACAGAATAACAAAAGGAGAGGTAAAATGAGTTTCAGCTATGCTTTCAGATGGAGGCAGACAGCAATTACTTTACTATGGTGTCATCAGCAACTTGTGTCACTTATTGAAACATAACACAGAGTAATCTGAATACCAGCCAGATGTGAGAGGAAATGAACAGTTAGAATGTGTTTGATTTAAAAGGGAAACTTGCAAACTGCCATTAATCAGTACAGCAATTTGCCACATTAACTATTTTTTGTCAGTGATATGTCATATTTCATACTTAACCTGTTCTGTTTCCCTGGACGAAGACTAAAAACATTGCCTTCCTTCTCAGACTACTCCATTTAAAGGCAACAAACCAGCAACCCAACCCATAAAGGCTGATTATGGTTCTTGAACTGAATTCAGAAAGCCAGCAAAATGAACTGGAAACAGTATCAAAGGGACTAGAGAACTTTTAGTGGGCTACAGAAAAACATATGATGATATCATAATGCCAAGACAAGGGTAACATTTTGTGAATATTAAGTTGACTGCTACAGCTCAGTGCTGTAACAATGCACATTAGTGATGACAAACCCACCTCAGGACTTTACAATACCCCTCCATAGTGGTGGATGCTCTTTGCACAACAGGGCTCCCATTCATCTAACCAGGTGCCAGCTTACAGCCAAATTGATGGAATACCGGGCCAGCAGCCTCGTGATTAAGGCTTCTTTCAAAGGGATGCAGTATCTTAATGTAAATGCTGTGCAGGTTGACCTTTTCTAGTCTGGCAAGCTCTGGTCTGGCAGCATCCATGGTCTTGCATGATTTTAGTTAGCCAAATATCCACCAAATTTTCTGCCATCCTATAAAGTTTGTTTACATCCTCCAGTCTTGGCTCTCAGTGTTCTGTGCTATTATTTAGCTCTAATTTTCCCCTAAATGTCTTCTAAAAGCCCAGTAAGCTGGGGTAGAGTTGGTAATACTGCTAGACAATATTGACCACCTGTGGATCATCAAATTCTCTGGTTTGGCACCGGTCAAATCTTGAGGGCATTGAACTAGAGAGGTTCAATCTGTGAGAAGAGGGAGGGATGGGGAAGGGGGGGAGGGAGGGAGAAAGGAGGATAATTGTGCTATGCAGAGCAGCTGCCAGGTAAAGGGGGGCAAATGGCTAGCTGAATAACTCAGTTACATATTGGGAATTTCCTTTCTTCAGCCTGCAGAGAAATTTAAAAGAGTAGGTCTCAGGATGGGACTTTGCAGTGATTCTGCTGACTAGAGTTGATCACAAGTGTCTACGTTTTAGAAGTTTTGACTACTTGTTCTTGCAAAAAATGTGATCTCCTGCCCCAACCCCAATCCCCTGTTGGTTGGCCAGCACATCTGGGTTTCATTTTTAATTACAAATATAATTGAAAAGTTTTCATGACAAATTTCAGACATTTCACCCACACTTTTTTTTGTTTTTGTTTGATCAACTCTACCGCAGAGCTGCTGATTCTATCCTTCCGCACAAAGTGCTGGTTTTGCGATCCTCCTGTGGGTGTCCAAAAATCCCCTAATCTACAG